TGACGAAAATCCATAATTTTTTTGATAAAGTGTTCTGGTGCAATAAGATCCCTCACACAACCCATGGGGGAGCAGATTAATGTTTTTAGTCCTTTTGCTTTAAAATCCCGTGTGAGTTGAGAAAAGGCTTCATTGTAGTCGTCTTTTTTTGGTTTCCCACTATACATCGGTTTGGTAACCAGGCTGTAAACAAAAGCGCCTTGATTTACATTCTGACAGGTGAGTTTGTCTGCAATAAAATCGCAGGGACGTGGTCTACCAAACTTGTTTTTGAAGACAACAGCAACACCAGCTGTCATATTTCTGGCATGGTCAAGGTCGCTCGATATAGTGTGAGCAAAACCTACAGAAGAGTCATGTTTGTAGCGGTCTATAACTTGGCTCATGTGTTCTTCAACTAACTCGATACCTTGATCTACCACCACTGCTTTAGAGTTAAAAGAGTGCTTTGAGGGTTCATTTTGCTTCTTCCTAATTAGCAGTTTTGCAACCATGTCTGCAACTTTAGCTTTACCTTTCCTATTGAAGTGCATCCCATGAGTGGTGTATAAATGTCGGGGAAGTAAGTGGAGGGGAAGAATTTGTATTTTGTTTTCATTGGCTGTGTTTTCTATTTCAGAGTTAAAATGTGAAATTTTCAAGTCCAACTGCGGCTGGTCATGTCTCATAGGCAGTGTTGCAAGAATCAAATTGGTGTGGGTAGAGTTGTGGATTAATCTATTTACATCCTCCATAAGTTGCATTTCTCCAGCACTGTCAACATTATTTGTACCAGCTATTACCAGTAGATAGTCATCTTTAGACAAGTCTCCAGAAAGTTGTTTGACCTCTTCAGTAACTCTGTCAAACTTTGCCCCAGATCTGACATATGAACAAACATTAGCAGTTGTCCGTTGGTGTACTAAATTACTTAAATTCTTTCCATGACTGTCAGCAAGTATGACAAGTTTTAATGGATGAATTACAACAGACGGTAATTTTACTGAGGTGTGTCTATTTGAACTAGGCCTAGGCTTCTGTTTCTTATTGGTGATGTTACTTGTGTAATTTTTTTTCTTACTAGGTAGAAGATCCCCATTGGATTGTTCATCATTGAAAGTGTCAGAAGATAAAATTTCAAAAGAATTTTCACAAGGTATAATAAAATTGTGAGCTGGTGATGATATTAAGTTATTACCGTTGACAAAAATACTCTCTTGAGGCTCAGACGGATTGTTGGTTAGTAAGTTTTTTGTTGATCTAGTTGGAGTTACTCGCTGTCGTGTTTTAGCAGAAGGTGATGTTTCTAGGAACGTAGGAGTGCCAAGAGGTGGAAAACAACGTAAACATGGAGATTTTTGTGATTCTATTTGACTTAACTTATCAGTTTTAGCTTTATTTTCTTTTTCAAGACATTTAATTATAGTTTCTAATTTCCTCATGGATTCCAGCATTTTTTTAGTCTCTTCTTTATATATTGTGCATGCTTTGCATGGTTTTGGTTGCATGTGATTTACTATAGTTTTAGCTTTGATATCTTCTTCCATCTGTGACAAAAGATTTATGTTAGCTAACTTTTCTTTCTCCAATTTACTTTCTAAAAATTTTAATTGCTGAGTAAAATTATCCTCTGTATCACTAAGCAGCTTCTTTTGCGACTCAAGATTCTCCTCCATTTCTTTTATTTTGTCTTCAAGTTCTAAAACATATAGAGAGTTTTCATTTTTGGCCTTAAAAAGCTCTTCACGCAATTCATCATTTTCATTTATTATTGATTTATTAATTTCTTCAGCCAGAGATGAACAGTCCAATTGATCAGGAGATTCTTCCATTATTGCAGTGGGACTAAGATCAACGTTTGCTGTGTTTCCTTGTGTAGTTTCATTGGAACAGATTGGGCATTTCCATAATTTTTTTTCAGCTAATGGTATATTTTTTACTTTATTATAAGACATGTTTACACATCTGAAATGATGCCATTTCCCACATTGACCATTACATAAAATTGCCCCAAAATTAGCATTTTTTCCACACACTCCACATGGATATTTAAAAGTCTTTAGAGTACATTTACTCATTATAAAATAAAATAAGTTCAAACTACAGTTCAAATACAGTCCAAATACAGTTCAATTAAAAATTAAAATATTGAATAGAATAAATATTTCATAAATAAGTTAATGCATTCACTATCACAGTTCTCAACAAATAAGTCAGACAGATAAGTCATGTAAACAAACCATTGTTGTGGTGGAAGGCAGGACAGAGAGAGAGATGGTTGACAGGTCACTGATAAGAAGCTCAGGGTCCAAGTTGGCTAGCAACAGGTGGAGAGGTAGCCTGATTCCTGTTTCCAAACAGGAAATGGTCTTGTTCTGATCAAGTGCACAACCTTTCTTCCTGTTTTAATTATTAATCCACTTTCGAATGTTCAAAAATCAAACTGTCAGAACAGTGAAATTACATACTGTGGTGTTCAATTTGAAATATCCAACCAGAGGAGAATGATATTAAAAAGTAGTGATTTACTGGAGAGGTTATTTTGAATGCTTGAAAAACATGTGACTTTCAGCAAGAAAAACGTAAGTTTTTATTTTACTAATGACAAGTTAACTGATTGAGATATTATTACAAGAGGGCCCATAGTTTGAGAGGTAGTTTGAGGATGCACCTTGCGCGGCGTACAAACTCCTGGGACGCGAAGAGGGACGTCGCGCGGAGCGATCATGCTGGTGGTAGCTCGACATTAGTCATTAGAGTCATTAGAGTCTCGACATTAGAGAGTTATTACAAAGAGTCATTAACTGTATAGTGAACAGCTTGTTTGTTGTCGCTGTGCGTGTGTGTGAGTGTGTGTGTGTTAGTGTGTGTGGGAGCGTGGGGCAGGCAGGGCAGTGTGCCAGGTGTATTTTTACCTCTCAACGCAGCGTCGTGCCTCAGTCGTGGATTGACAGCATGTCGAGCTACCACCAGCATGATCGCTCCGCGCGACGTCCCTCTTCGCGTCCCAGGAGTTTGTACGCCGCGCAAGGTGCATCCTCAAACTACCTCTCAAACTATGGGCCCTCATCCTCAAATTATGGGTCGTCATCATCAAATTATGGGCCGTCATCGAATTATGGATCATCCAACTATGGATCATCCAACTACGGTTCATCATCTAACTACGGGTCTTCCTCATCTCCCTACCTCAACAGTTCCCCCTATGCATCATCTTCGTATAGTTCTCCATACTCAAACCATTCTCCATACAGCACCTATGGTGGAACAACGTCCGGCTATGGCGGACTCATGGTACCGTCTTCGAGCACGTATAACTTATCGTCCTCGTCCTCTAAGTTGTCTTCGTCTCCGAACTCATATTCTAGCTCTTACTTAAACAATCTGTTGCAATCAAGTGGAAACGGTAGGACTGCTTCACCAACGTATTCCATGAGAACTACTTCCCCCAACTCATCATTCTCTAAAACTCGTCAGTCATCGGGCAGTTCCCGACAGGTGACTAGTCGCTCCAACAGCTTCAACAGACATCAGCCGTCACCACTCACAGCCAAGTCAAGGTCTTCCTCAGCAGTCTCACTCAGGAGTGACACTTCCGAAGGTTATGCTGTAAGATTTTTTCTCAAAATCAATAATTTGTGTGTAGATTTTTAAATTTTAGCTTTTTTGTGAAATTATTTGTTGATAGTCTGTGGTGTATATTTTAGTTAAGAAATATGTATAGGCAACAATATGTGTGCTTATAGTTATTTTAAAATATCTTTAGAAAAGTTATATGATTTGCCCATCTTTGATTGGCATAATATTACCATAGTTCTCTGAAAATATTATAGTAATTGTCATGGTTTGTTCCTGGATTAAGTTTAAGCCATCTGGATTTTGCAATGATTTTTTCACTTAAAATGAGGTGCTACACACACACCTCAAGGTTTCATTTCATTTTAGGGTTATCTCTTACATTGTCAGTTTGGGGTAATTTTGCACACAATTTTGCTAGAAGTGCTTAAAAGATCAATTTTAATTTTATATACAGTTGATTACGGTAGGTTTATCTATTTTACCACTTTTTGCTGTTGAATTTTAGTAATTAGTCTACAATTTAGCTTGGTTTAGAGTAGAAATCTGTTATTGTCAAACTCAGAAGTAGGTAGAATGGTTTTATACCCAAGCCAACAAATATACATAAACCAAAAAATATAATACAACAAAATTTTATTACATAAAATATCCAAAACTTAAGGGTTTTTGTATGGCCTTCCTCAAATTTTCCTCAAATAATATTTTTATGGTTATTCATAATCATGATGTGGAAATCGGTCTAAATGGTGTGCAATAAACAAACCTTGACTTCTGAAAATGTTCATGTAGGGCCTACATCATTTTTATTGTGTTTTTACTACATTGGCATTTTTAAAGTTTATTTGTCAGGAGGAGGTCCAAATTTTATTAACATGTTTACTATTGGTTACAGAGAAGCCACTTCTTTATTCGTTATAGGTTCTTTGACCAGTTTAGAACAATATGTTTTCTAACTATCCTTTGAACCTAGATTTCAGTACATTTATATTGCCAAATCATTCATAAAACCGATAAATATGATCTGTCTGTGACATTAACCAAAAAACCAATCTCATCCACCTCTGGTTACAGTACTTATTGATATTCGAACTTTAGGTGTATTTGCAACCAATATTCCTGTGATGTGGGTTATCAACGTAGATGATCAATTTTAGCGCCGACTTACTTGAACTCTATTGTCAGTGATTGATATCTAGAAATAGATTTGTTGGGATTAAAACCTTTCAAGACCCTCCTCTCCACCATTTACCATAAATGTCAGTCCCTCCCCTATTGACGGTTGAGCGATAATTGGACTCTAGAGGTTTTGGAACACCTCTCTGTCCCCCCTTATTGTTGTAGGTTTTTTATATAGATTTTGTTAAATCGTCAGAATAAAAATGTATCAATAATTGATTATAAGGTACAAACATGTTGAACTGAGTCAATGGTTTGTGTTGCAGAGTGGAACCGAGAGATCAGGCAGATCTTCAAGGCTAAGTTCATCAACCGATGGTGAAGCAACTGCCAATGGAGAGATCGATTATAAGAAGGTAATATTCGCCAACACTGTGTATGTTCATATTGCGCTTGAATTAATTTGTGGACAATTTACAACAAAAATTATGAATACTAGCTCATTTTCCATATATTGGTTTTTTATGTAATCTTTTCTTGGGCTATTTTATTAGATAACAACACATAGAAATAATGTCAGTTTTCATCATGTCCAAAATATTATTCGATCTAACATTATTTTTTCTTTTCTGCTAACTCATAGTGCACCATTTCTTTAGTGTCAAAATAAAAAGAACCCTGTTACATTTAACGCCATTGTTAGATTGCCTAAAACAGTTCAGAGGTTTTTAGGCATGTAAGCCATTTTAGAGCATAGTGGAAATAACCTTTTTTTGTTTCCGTCATGTAATATTAAATCCGGTTTCATCCCCTGTCACAATTGATTTCAAAAAGTTGTCTCCTTCATCACGACAACACTCAAGGAACTCCAAAGCTGACACCATTTGTCGAGTTTTGTGGCCGTCCGTCAACATTTTTGGGACCCAACGAGCTCAAAGTTTTTTGTAGCCTAACCGTTCAGTAACAATAGAGTACAAAGCAGACATTGAAAGTTCTGGAAATTCCATAGACAAAGCAGTAATAAATGGTGATCTGCGGTTTTCATTACTCATTCTGTCAACTCGTTGAACCTGGTCATCTGAAACGACAATTTGCATCCTTGTCCTCCTTCATCATGCACATCATTACGGCCATCTTAAAATTTTTGACACCGTTCAGCACAACACCCTCACTCATGAAGTTTCCCCATACACACGACACATTCTCCGATGGATTTCTGCAGCACTATGGCCTTCAGCCTGTAGAAAACGAATCACACTTCTCACACTCTAAATCACTACTACTAATCACACTTCATTTACAATTGGCGAGAGCATCAATAATGGCGGACATGTTTACGTGGTTGTAGCACAAAGCCGACTGATGCCTGAATGTCAACAATGGCGGAGTGTGTAGTGCAAGAGCTGCGCAGTCGCCTAAAGTGCATGCCCGCGTAGCGTCTGCACGGAGCGATCTGAGGTTGAAGAATGAACATCCCTCGTACAAGTCTTATATTTACAAAATACCCAAAACAATGGTTAATAAAAATGAATGATTGGTTCATTACACCCTAGCAGTAACAACATAAATGTTTTACATTATGAATGCAGTTCTTTAGGTTCCTATACAGTAGACTCCCTCTTATCCGGACACCTTTTAACGGGACTACTCCCTGCGGGAATGACATCTCTTTAACCGGATAATTTTTATCAGCACATGTAGACTAGATCGGCAGGAAGTGGGCGGTACTGAAACGACTGTTCTTGTGGGAAAGATTTGAGATATGTGATGACGTGTCTAAATATAATGCTTTCCTAAATTTAAGTCAAATACTGTATACAGTATGCATCTCAACATTCCGTTTTAACGAGTTTTTGAGGACGTCGGTTTAACCGAAAAAACCGTCATCCGGACTGGCCTCGGTCCGGATAAGAGGGAGGCTACTGTATGTGTTTTTCTTGTTTAAAATGATCTAATTAACTATGCCTGTGTTATATGTGTAGTGTGTAAATACTGTTCTTTACATTTTTGAATCGTTCTTGTAGCTTTATGAAGAATCTCAGCAAGAAAATGAAAGGTTAAGGGAGAAATTGAAAAAAACAGAAGAAGATCTCAAGGAATCCAAAACGCAAGCAGAAAAAAATGCTTCTGTAAGTAATGTTTTATTATGCTCTTGATTATATGGCTAAAACAAAGTTTCCCCAAAAGCCTAGGTAAAAGCCCTTTTTGTTGCCAATAATTTTTCATGGCACTTTGTTTGTATAAATTTAATACCTGCAATTTAAACATTGCCATCTAATCTTATAAAACTGGAAATATGTGGCTAGAAAAACTCATAAAATCTAAAAGGCTTTGATAAGTTTGAAATACCTTTCATATATTGGTCGATATATAAAATAAAATGTGACCAGATTTACAAAACTGAATTTAGTCCTCCTCTTTTTTCTTCTTATTGTATATACATTCATTCTTATGTACGGTATAGGTTTTTTTCTATCGTGACAGTAAAATCCTAATCTAGAAAGAAAAGTTGTTCTTGTAAAGATAGTTTAGATTGTAGTTTTCGCTATCTCGGTTTGTTTTTATTTAATGTCCTGAGTACATATTATTATCAATTTATTTTCCAGCCTGGAAAAAATTCCATGTCAGAAATGGAAAAGCGTGAAAGGCGAGCTTTGGAGAGGAAGCTTTCCGAAATGGAAGAAGAACTCAAGGTAAATTTCAATGGTTAAACTTTTTTTAATGCAATAAATTTTTTCCCCAATATAATATTGTTGTGTTAACCAATTAATAACATTTGCAGCAGTTTTATATTTTGAATGGAATTATACAATGATTATTCAACTACAGTGTCAAAGAATTGCATTTCCTGGCCAATGTAAAACTTTTATTAAAATAGGAAAACATATTTTGCCATGACAATACTAGAATTGCATTAGCTTTTTAATGAGTGTTGATAACAAAGTGTTTTTAGTGTTAAGATTATTTACTTTGTTGTTTCCTTTTTACTAAAATAGTAATTCATTAGTTAAACAGTACTTCAAACAGATTAAATACACACACAAATATATACACTGTAAAATTGTTAACTGATGAGTTAGGGATGTTGTTAAAAATAACTTGTGCTGACCCACCGAAGGCTGGTGCAGTAAGAAAATCAGTTTTACAATTTGTTATAAAACCTCAATAATAACAGTATGTTTTGCCCCCCAACCACATACAAAATATCTCAAAAAACTTAACCAAATAGATCCCAACTAACCTAATGTCAATAGCTTCAACAGTGATGGAGATATAGAACTTTGCTCGTCTGTCTTCTAATTATTTTCCTGTCATTCCAGCAATTACAAAAGCTCAAAGCAGAAAACGAAAGATTGCGAGCGGAAAACCGAGCGTTGACTCGTGTTGTGTCCAAACTTACTGCCTCTGCGAATGTCGGCAAATAGGTAAAGAGCTCGGTGCATGGTCCATCGCAATCATCCCGGCTTGCGTTTCTGTTCTGAATGGGATCTTTTGCAATTAATCTCCGTTAACACACCCTTGTGTCCGTCCCACGGTGCTAACTGTGTTCAGTTTCCACGATGTTGTCCATACACTTTTACGTTGATTTTGTTTTTTTTCATGCATAGTTAGAATCTTTAGTACTTCTTCCTGGATAGCCCATGTTTCAGTTTATAGTTTTTGTATCTAACTAGTACAACATTCTTATTTGTACATATTTAGGTGACTTGTGTGTTTTCCTCAGTTTTAAGGATTTTTGTTGTTTCTTTCTGTTTTGTCTTCATTAACACTTGAGTAAGTCTCGATAGTTCCTCGAAACTATTGTACAAGTCTGGTTTTCTATACTTGATTGTTTTTATAAACTAGCAAACTAATCTTTGAGTGTTGTCTGTGATGGCTGTATATATATAAAGCTTTCAACTCTTTTGAGTGATAATTATTCACTCGTCAGGTACAGTTTGATGTCAATAGCTCAGTTACATATGAGTCATCTTTTATAGATGTGAAGCTTACTAATAAAATGTGAATTTGTGTAGAAATAAATATTCTAATAGCATACAAACAACAAATAGAAAGGTCTTATCCAAGATCTTTTTGATAAGATTGATAATTATGTCTTGAACTAGACACAATAATTGACTTGTATTATTGTGACTATTTCAAATCTTTAACACATACCCTATTAGTCGTGCCACTGAAACAAGTCAAAATTTTACACAGGTGCGTCTGTAATAACCCTACAACACTATTTTCTTCTTAAAACCAAGGGTAATTCAAAATTGCCTTACCTCATAGGTTTTGTTTGACAATGCAGAGAAAGGAATCATCTAGTTTCCTATAAATCATTATCAACTTACCACAAGGGTGCAATTTATATTGTTTGGTGGATGCATTTTCACCAAAATTGATTGTCTTTGGAATATTTTCAATTATAAGATGAAATGAAGAAGTGGGGGGATAATTTTCTCATCATCATACAATAATATTACACATAACAATTTTGGTAAATGCAAATAATCTTAATTTATGTAGGATAAACTGCTCTCTATTAATTCTTCTAAAATTTGTTGTTGTTTTTTTGCAGCTAATTGAAAAGCTGAAATGTGAAAATCAGAAGCTGAAGGATGAGAATGGAGCTTTAATAAGGGTGATCAGCAAGTTATCCAAGTGATGGGTGGTACCAACACGACAACTCGTATTTTCCCTTCGCTCGGTTTTATTTATTTATTATAGTCTAATTGCTATTATGTTTATTGAATACCTGGCATCGTTCGGGCCGGTTAGGTCCATGGCCGTTACCAAACGTTGTATATAGTTTCCTATGAGAGTTTAGTACTACATACATGTATACATTTGTTTATTAATTTTTATATAAAAATTATTACATAAGGCCAGTGACTACCACAGTGTCTTGATATCAGTGTGATATAAAATATCACAAACCAAAACAATTGATTGGTTCGTTAGTCAAAGATTAGAGGAAAAACTACGTATTAATTTTGTGATTTTAAAAGTAGTGTATGATTAACAATGGAAAATTCAGTTATTGGCTTGAAGCATTTCACCAGCATTTAAATATTTAACTAGCTTTAATTCAAATTTTAAATCATTCCTGTAGCTCTCTGTAGAATTATGGTATGATTAACTGGTCAAAATATAAACACATTAGCTTTGATAAAATATCAATTATGAATCTATTCTATTAAAAATGTGTATTATGTTTTTTGCTCCTTAACTGGTTGATGATCACACAAAAAATGAACAGCTATATTAAAAAGAGATGGAGTTTCCAATTTTTCATTATTAATTCAATTATATATTTTGAGCAGAAAGCAAAATTTGAAATACTATACTCCAAAAACTTTGTTCTGGGTTCAACATAACATGTTTTTATTGTTTTTACCAGTCCTCTGTATTACTTGGATTAAATAAGTAGTGTTATAATAGCCTCAACTATCTACATTGAAAAAATATAATTACAAACTAGCAAACTACCGTCACATTCACTGATCTTGCTAAAATACATTGGAAACCAACAAGAGAGGTTGATTGTGAAGCTTTGGTGATTTTATCATCTTAATAGTTTTCTCTTCCACATACAATGTGCACTTTAACAGAGATACAAATTACTATTTCAAGCTAACTACACAATTTTGAACAGTGACGTATCCCAAAATCTTTAAAAACTATTTTTTAAGGTCTAATTTTTATTTTTGATCTATAAGTTCATGGTACTAGGTACTTGAGATTTCCCTCCAAGCGACTTCATAAGAACATCACTGAAGTATCAGTTGTATATAAGTGAAAAATAACATGTATAGTTCTTTAGCTGTTTTACATATCAGAATATTAAACTAACATCTTCATAATTTAAAAGTTCAACTTATTCTTCACACTTAAATATTTCTAAATTTTAGCCCATTGCATGAAAGTTAGGTGTCGTCCATAAAATGTGCTTGTTGAATTTTGATAGACCTGATCAATTTTTGTAAATAATAGCATTGTGCACAATCTTCCAATAACATTGAATAATATGTTTAGTACATTTTAAACGTATGGACAATAAGGTTTATATTTATAACCAAGTATCAGCCTAAAATATTAGTTTCATCTGTTACTGGTATCTATTTAAAAATTTTATAATCGTACATTTTGTTATTATCCGAAATTTATTTAATGTGAAACTATAATTAAAATCTCTTTATGTTATAGAACAGGGAACACCAGCAAATAAACATTTATTGCATGTAATGAAAATGAGGAGCAAAAACTAGGTTTTAGTGTTATAACACAGCAGCTAGTAGGAACAAGAGTAAAATGACAGAACATGGGTAATAATTATGGTTTAATTTATTCTATACAATAGTTTTATTATTTCGTTAAATTATTCTGTGTTTGTATTCGTTTTATTTTTCATTTTAAGCTTTTGTGTGTATTTGTAGGTCCAAAGTAAATGTTTATTTTCTAGTCCTTAGGTTTTATACCTGTTCGATTGTAGATAGATACAACAGTTAAGACTATTTGGGGTTATGAGGGACTTTTTTTGTACATCTTAGTGCAATACTCGTCTTAAAACTATTGTTAAACTTGTATAGCAAGTTTGCAAATAGCACTCGTTAAAACATTTCACACCATTTTAATAAATTCTTGTACAAATAGATGTCTGATATTTAAATTCTTTACTGTTGTATTTCTGCCGGTTATCTTTTTTTACACCGGTATCTTTTAAGGTTAAAACGATGTGCCTTTTGCTTCATATAAGTTGAAAACTCTTTGTCTATATTATTGTATATCTTGTAAAATTAAGAGTTTTAGTAAATTTTATGTGGCTTTGTTATTTCAATATGCAAATAAAAGTCGAGATTTGTTTAATATGCATTTTCCTTACATCCGTCTTCATAATATTGGATCACAAGTTTCCTAGTGTTTAGAGTTTGGGAATTTCTCTACTTAACATAACAAATTTCGTCAATTAAATGAGCCATGATTTATAAAACTTTGACAAGTTCAGTACTGTGATTTAAAAATAACTTCAATCAATTAATACAGTGATTGAGAAAAGTATCTAAAATAACAGGATAAGTGTTGACAAAAAATGTTATTTTCACAGATCCAGATTTTCTAAGTTCATTAACTTGACTTCCTTTCACTGCACTAGATTCTAAGCCATCCTTCTTCACTTCACCCCAGCTCTTGCCTGCCTTCCTCGATCTCTTTCTGTACAGATCTTCTCCAAGTTATTCTTGGTCTTCCTCTCTTTCAAAGTTTAATAGGATAACAAAAAAAAAGGATTAAGGACATAAAAGATCTTCTCCAAGTTATTCTTGGTCTTCCTCTCTTTCAAAGTTTAATAGGATAACAAAAAAAAAAAAAAAAGGATTAAGGACATAAAAAAAAAATGACAACCCAAATATAGTTTGATAAATTATACTTATATTTACAAATCTCACAAATTATGGTATAAGACATAGTAGTTAAGGAAGTTACAAAAAACAATAATTGCACAATCGATAAAAAATAAAATATCCTGTTTCAACCGTTATTGATTGAGTTCACTTCAATTTGTTAACGTCCCTGATATTTAAATAATTCCTTAATGAGAGTAGCATTGCTATGTTTTTATTTACAAAAACCGTAACAACCATGATGTGTCTCTGGCAAAAACTTCTTGTTTAAAATAAAAATTGTAGAATCTATATTTAAAAAATGGAATAATCAGAATACTTTAGTTATCACAAATTGAAAGCAAGCTCGAATATAAATGTAGCTGTTACGATGGAACATGTTGGTTATTGACTCAGGTTGTACCACAACAACTTGTTTTGGTTTCTGGTTGAGATGCGGCAAGTTCATCTTCAACCACCACTACATTCCTTCGCATGCTGCTCGTCCGTCCCAGAATGTTGGCTTTCTGTACATCACTCTCCTGCGCTCGCTCCATCATCTGCTTGCTCAGTTCCAAAAACATCTCCTCTATTCCTTTGTTCAGCTTTGCTGACGTGTGAAAATGAGTCGCACCGACAGACTTAGAGTATCTAAAAAAAGCGATACATACAGCTGAATTTTGACATTCCCAATACAAAAAAATTAGCACTAGAGTCGGGACCACGTAAGTTTGCAGTTGAAGGAGGAGCCTGTTTGCCATATGGTTTTGAATTAACCAATGAGAACCGTGCGGTGTTGCTAAATCTAATAATACCAGCTGATTTGAAATATCGCTTAGTATATTTTAATTGTTGTCAAAGGGCGATGTGGCAACGTCGCACGAGCGTTGTCTTGTGATTGGCTGCCACCAACTGCAAACTTACGTGGTCCCTACTATAAACCTATAGTGAATGTTATCTGAAATTGTTAATAAATTCAATATCAATTTAAACAAAACTATTTTCATTTTGTAAATTCATATTTCACAAGAGCAAAAAGTTGAGGATATTAAATTTGTAATAGTTTTCAAAGATTGCAGATTTATTCTTAAGAGCTTGTGTTGTCAAACTTTTTACATTGCTTACATATTCTTTTGATCATTTGGATCAAATCAAATTATCTTTATTCACTACATTTTACATACATGAATAGTGTCAAAGCATACAAAATTGGTTATACAACTTAATCTTAAAGACTTAACCATACAATTTGAGAATTATTTTAGAAGGCATAGCCAATTCATTTTTGATTTAGAAACTCATCTATACTATAAGGAGGATTAAGGATTACTATAAGGATTAATTAAGAATGATTTTAATTTCTTTAAAAAATTGTGTTTGTTTTGACCTTTTTTAAGTAGTACAGTAGAACTCCAATTATCCGAACTCCAATTAACCGAATCTCCAATTATCCGAATCGCTTGCTACAACAATTTTAAAAACGTAAAGCTACAGTAATAAGTTTCGCTAAATATCAAAGAATTGTTATTAAACACATTTAGCCAATGTGTAATTTTGGACTTTGATGGAACACTATTGACTTAATAAAATGTATAGAACACTTGTACTATGAGCATTGTAAACTGTAAAAATGTTCTTATTTCAATTATTATTAATTTAAAGTTTACTTAGTAGGCTACCAAAAATGAGGATTTTTCTTTAAAATTCCCGGAATTCCGGCAAAACTCCGATTATCCGAATTTTTGATTATCCGAATGGGGTCTGGTCCCTATTGATTCGGATAATCGGAGTTCTACTGTAATTAATTTTTGTAGTAGTAGTCTTTTTTTAGTAGATCGTGTAAGTTTTTAAGTCAATTGATACTATGCTGGATGAGTTGGGTAAAGTGATCAGGGATCTCACTTACTCAATTAAATGTCAGTGTATGCACATAAAGACGTACATGCATGCAGAGAACATTGGAATCTGTGGTTAAGGTTACAGGTCCTGTTTAAACTACCCTCTATTAAATGATTAGTCTGTCCTTTAAGGATAAAAGGTATGCATATGTTTCTGCTGCATATTGCATGTACATTCAGTGGTGGTTCTAGGACCTTGTCAAGGAAGGGGCTACCGGGGGGCTTGGGGGGTGTCTGGGGGTCCTCCCCCAGGAAAATTTGGAAAGCCGTTTGGTGACTTTCTAAAGCCATTTTTAACAGCTAAAACTGTGCCCAACTGTCCATAAACCCCCATTTCACCTGTTTGTTACGAGCAAGTAGTCATTTTATAGTATATTACGTTACTAGTCCTGAAAATAGGTGTTTACCGGACGAGTGTGGTCATTCCAGTGCGAGACGAAGTCGAGTAGGCCTACAGGATTACCATACGAGTCCGGTAAACACATTTTGGACGAGTGACGTACAATATTTTACGCCATACTACTCTAAGTTAACTTAACAATAACATATTTGTACAAATCCTCATATATTCCCATCGGCTAAAGGACTAACAATCAGAACTCATAACAGAGGTTATGTTTTTGTTTATAACCACTCATTTCCAAATACTGTATACTCAGCTGGTTGGTGTCCAGTAAAAACTAATTTCAGTACAGTAATGAAACCCCATTTGATTAAGCTGGCAACAACAGCTGTTTTCTGGACTAAATCCTTGCGTGGAAAGTTCGTTAAAACAGTGTAGTGTGGTGTAAAAAATTAAACTACATGACAATTGCATTCATGAATTTTAAAACACACTGTAGACTAAGATCATATCCTCCCAAAAGCCGTTTGGTGACTTTCTATAGTATATTACGTTACTAGTCCTGAAAATAAGTGTTTATCGACGAGTGTGGTTGTTCACGTACGAGACGAAGTCGAGTACGGGATTACCATACGAGTCCGGGAAACACATTTCGAGTTACGTACGATAGTTAACGCCATACTACTAAATCTGAACAAATCCTTATAAATTACTACCAACTAAAGGACTAAAAATCACCAGTAGGTTATGTTTTAGTTTATAACCACTCATTGACACCCAAATACAGTATAATCAGCTGATTGGTGTCCGGTGAAACTCATTACAGTACAGTATTACGCAATGAACCCCCATTCGATTAAGCTGGTGGCAAACAGCTGTTTTCTGGACGAAATCCTTGCGTGGGAACTTTGTCAAAATAGTGTAGTGTGGCGTAAAAGCCATTTTCAACATCTAGAACTGTGTGCTAAACCTCCCATTTCCCCATTTATTTGTCATGAATAAGTAGACATTTTTAAAACTAATGACGATTGCATTCATTAATCTCAAAACATATTGTAAGTTACGGCCATATCATCCTAAAATCTGTTTACTGACTTTCTAAAGCCATTATTAATGTCTATATCTGTGGCCAACTGTCCAAAAACCTTCCATTTCACCTGTTATATTTTGTCTTTGTCACGAGCCAGTAGATATTTTAAAAATTGAACTATGACGAACTTGCATTCATGAATTTCAAAACACAGGCCAACTGTAGACAAAAAAGCCATATCTCCTAATACCCCCGCCGCAGCAAACCTGCAGACTAAGCGAATTTCCATTTGACTGATTTGATTTACACTGAAATGTCTACTTCAAAAAATATAACATTTATTCCTGATTTAAATAGAACTAGTTAACCGCCCGTGCTCCGCCACGGGAATATTGTCAGTAATAAAAGATATAATAATTAACAATTACTGTTTATCTTTGTATTTTATTTAGGGGTTGTTTAATTTTTTACATGAGATAGAACTGATAGTTTGCCTGCATAAACTATTTTATGTTAATCAAACCGATATATTATTTTAACCAAATGAATGTTTTATATTAATTCGAGTTTCATTTTAAAAACAAATAGTATACGAACTGGGGAATGCTGATAACCTAATAAGCAGCTATTTATGCTATTTAGATAATTTTCTCAAGTATATTCCTATATTCGTAGTTTTTTTTTTTATTACATTTGTTGTATGGAATAAAGATAGTCACTTAGCCTACATGTAAATCGCGCATCAGCTGTTGGTCGCATTTCACGAATCTTTGACCCATACTGTGAGTAAAAGCTGTGTTTACGTCGTATGTATAAAGTTGGGCATACTTTGTTCAATGTTAGAGGGTATTACGGTCCAATTTGATGGAAAGGAGTCGTGGATTTTAAAACTATGTAGACTACCACTACCAGAAAGATGTTGATTCAAGTGAGACTTAGAACTGGCCATTTCAAATGCAGATTTGTATTATATTTTACTCAAATAGTTTTTTGTCTCTTTTGACCCTTAATACTTTTTTTATAGTCGCTTTTGATAAGATTTTCCATAAACTCACAATGTTGATAAGGAGTTATTTTACCTTCCCCTTGTGACAACATAAGGAAAAAATATTTGTCTCCCAGTTAGTCTGTTCTGACTAAAAATTCATAGATTTGCAGTATTGTTTAACAGTGTATTTAACACCATCACTGCTCTTTACCTTTTTAGTTCGATGGTTCTCTACATGTTTTTTTTCGTTCTGTATGTCTCTTTACGCCCGGTTAATGATTACATTTTCTTTTTTTTGTACTTTTCACATCCTGGGGTTAATGATAAAGTTTTATAACGCTATAATGATCGAGTCAACATTGCCATTGAACATCTAGTCAGATACTTCTTCGCCAGAACCGAAATCGTAAGTCACAGTTTCTCAAGCAACTTCCCTGTGTAGGCCTACTCGAAAAAATATAGTTAGGGTATAGTTCACTGATAAATTGTAGTTCCAAATATCCCAGCGTACTCGCCATCTCGAGAAGGTAAAATTTGGACGTCGAACACTGATCTTGAGTAAGATTAATCACTTACGATAAAATGTTTGTATGTTTACAAATCATTAGCAATTATCTGTAAAACTTGCAAGCGGATTTCCCTATGATTGTTCTGGTGGCTATAGAGAATAAATTATATTGATCAAACAATAAGTTTCCGTCCCCTACTATGGGTATTATTTCACATTCCATACTCAAACTTAAACTCAATTACCACTTTCCTTCAGATCACTTTGCAGGAAAACTAAAACATTTTTGTGTCCCAGTTAGTCTGTTCTGACTCGAAATTCATAGATTTGAAGTAGTGACAAATCCAATCTTTAACGACCCCAATTCAAAAGAGTTGGTATTTTTTTGTAGGGACTTCCAGAGCACATTTAACACCAACACTGCTCTTTACCTTTTTAGTTCGATGGTTTTCTACATTTTTTTTTCGTTCGGTATGTCTCTTTACGCCCAGTTAATGATTACCTTTTCTTTTTCTTTTTGTACTTTTCACATCCTGGGGTTAATGATAAAGTTTAATAACGCTATAATGACCCGAGTCAACATTGCCTTTAAACATCAAGTCACATACTTCTTCGCCAGAACCGAATGGTAAGTCACAGTTTCTCAAGCAACTTCCCTGTGTACTTGAAAAAAAAAATCACTGATATATTGTAGTTCCACGTATCCCAGCGTACTCGCCATCTCGAGAAGGTAAAGTTTGGTACCACTGAATGTCTAACACTGATCATGAGTAAGATTCGTCACCTACTATAAAATGTTTGTATGTTTCCCACTCATTAGCATTTATATGTACAACTTGCAAGCGGATTTCCCCATGATTATTCTGGTGGCCGTAGAGAATAAATTATATTGATCAAAACAATAGGTTTCCGTTTACTACTATGGGTATTATTTCCCATTCCATACTCAAACTTAAACTCAATTACCACTTTCCTTCAGATCACTTTGCAGGAAAACTAAAACATTTCAAAAATAAGTTAACAAATACACTTTCCTTGATCAAAATCGTGTGTTTATAAACAGAAACTCCAAGTTTAATAATTGCATACTGAAAGTGAGGTTATAAAAATAATAACAAATGTCTGACAAGCATTAAACAGCTGACGAATAATTTATAAACTGTGTATTATATTCTTCAATAAGAATTGTATTGACTCGACCTTTAAAGGGCTGTAGGTCGTAGCCCTTAGAAAAAACGTAAATTCTAAGGAAGTTCGGCAAATCTACACACTATCCCCTTTAATTTGAGACATAAATCTTGTAGATCGGTCCAGTAATTACTGAGAAAACAGTGTTACAACTGTGTATTAAATATATAGATTAGTTTAACAAGTACTTAGGTTTGCTGCATCAGGGAGGGTAAAACTTTTTTTTGTTTGTAAAATGTTAATAGTTAGTAAGAAATAAAAACATTTTCCAAATTTGATCAAAATATGTTCATAAACAACCAAACTACAACAGTTTACTTATTCTCCATAAGAATAACATGGGAATTTTAAATTTACAATTTTTTTGAATTTTCTCCGTAACCATTAGGCGCATAATAACGCTTCAATATACTAAATTATTTGTTTTTTTAAGCTCTACAAAATGGTTTGGAAAGAAATTGCTAAATTTTATCTTTTTGGGTCAAAAATGGGAAAAACCTATTTTTACCCCATAAAACCCCCCGTAAACCCACGTTCCCATGGTCCGATCATGCTGGATCGCGAACTCGTTCGAATAAACGTAGGTTTACACGTTTGTACCAAATTTCATCAAAATCGGATCATTTTTGCTCGAGTTATCGTGGTAACGGACACACATATATATATATATATATATATGAATTTGAATGGATGGTGTTTTTTGCCTCTAGGGACCTCAAAACGAAAAAAAAATCGGTCCCGCGTCCAGGTCTTACCATGAGTACTACGGTAATAGCTTATTCCCTATATGGGAAATTCGCTAAAAAGCCGTTTGGTGACTTTACAAAGCCATTTTTAACATCTAGAACTGCGCCCAATTGTCCTAAACCCTCCCATTTCACCTGTTATATGTCATGCAAGCAAGTAGACACGTTTTTTAACCTTACGTTTTCCTCCATTTCATAGATCTGTCACAATATGTATAGTATCATAAATTCAGTAATAGCATTGACTAGATAACTTTAAACACTAGTGTTTATATAGTCAATGGTAATAGGCTACTGTGGTGCTAACACTGATGGCTGATGCCTGTCTAAGTCAGTAGCTCGCAGACAATTTGACAACTAGGAACATGAAATCAGCTGTTTCCCCGTCCTCGCTGTCGTGCTCGGCGCCCGCCTTTGCCCTAGCATGTCAACAGCTGACTGCTGTAAAAATTGGATGATGCGTACAACTTTCCATAGCGTGATATTGATTTATTCGTTGTTCTATTGCCCCACAAAGTTTATCTATGTGGAACTTAATACTACTCCTGCCATAGCTTATTTAGTTTAATAAAAACTTCATTGATGTCTGTTTTATATCATTGCGTGTTTTAAGGACGAAATATATATTTAAATTTATTTTTACAGGGTCCAAGGGGGGCTTTAGCTTTAGATAATTTTAGTCTGACAACCTTTTTCACTTTTTGGTGTGGTGTTGGGATAGCGGAAAAAAGTAAACAATGTATTAATTTATTTGAAAACTACACAACAGTGTTAGTTGTTGTACCTAGTTTTTCTAACGCATCTCAAAATAAATGTTACGTTAAATAAATTTACTGTAAATAGCAGGTCAAGATGTTGAGTTTAGGGAAAACATTGTGATGAATCAGAGAAAAGGTTAAGCATAAATAAGGTTATTGTCCTACTGCTATTAGTGCTAAAAAATTTTCTTAAATCAACATTTTCCAAACAAACCCATTAAATAGGCTACTTACTCTTCAGCATCTGCTACTGGAACTGTTCTTTGCTTCTCCAAGTCAATTTTATTGCCGGCAATCACCAAACAAATGTCACTACCAAGCATCTTCTTCAACTCCTTCACCCAGTTTTTAACCTTGAAAATAAATACTTTGTAAATATCAGACCTCAGACCATATTTGATGCATCAATTGAAACATTTATGGTGCACATGAGCAATGCATCCGAGAATCTTGTGAGTGTTTACAGAAGTTTGATAATCAGAGGCGGATTTGGAGATGTGCTCCCCTTTTCTATCCACAATTGGTTGCTCCCACCCTCCCCTCCAACCGTGTACGCTTCTTGGGGTAGGTCGACTCGAAATCACAGTCATCAAATGACTAAATAAGTGCTGTCTGCCTCAACTCGCCTGTCTTTTACTACTAGGCCTATACAGTAGCTGAATCTCCCCACTAGCTTTTGACTTATCTTATTCTCATCACTGTATTATTCTTCTTATTTTTTAATTCCATACTTTAATACTTTACAATGAAATGGCGACCATACAAAGTAGGTAAAGCCAAGTATGAATGGAGATGAGTGTAGGATGAGTGGCGCGATCTTGTAGTCTTGTTAGTAAATAAGGCCGACACATTTCTTGGACACAGCTGTTAATTAATAGCCCATACAGCTAATGGAAGTTAAGGGACCTACAGTTTATAGTGGAATCCGAACCACATTTTTGCCTTGGTATTAACGAATTGGTCTAATTATCAGGATAGGACTGTGGATAGTGGGTAGTACTCACTAGATTTAAAACATTTTAAGTAAAATGAAGTTTTGATTAAATTATCATAGCCTAGTTTGTAACATTGTTTATCAACAGATAACTCATAAATTATATTTTATTTTCTTGAAGTGGGAATGGAATCAAATAGTTAATAGTAATGATCTGAAATTTAAAAAAATGTATTAATATTCAAAACGCTTATTCAATTTCTCTCAATTCTGTACTAAATAGTTTCATGACAGCTGGCTGTTTATGTCGTTTCCTAACCTCAAAACTTCACTTCAAACACCTGATCACTGCAGTGACATCATAAACGTGTCAACAAAACAGTGGATATCGGACCTAATATTGCTCACATCAGTAACTCACGAGAAAATGAGTCATCACGCCACTTCGCTATCCACTGATTCAAATGAGAGTGCATGCCTGTTTTTAGGGATGGAAGCTTGGTTGGTGCGTGATGTTAGTGGAGGTTAAGTGTGGAAAGGTTTGATCATAATTTTCAACCTTTGACTTTCCTAGTTATAAAGTTTTTTTTTATTTATCTAAGCTAAATATATTTTTGAAATTTCAAACTAAAAAAAACATACTTTTAAAATTTGCCGCCCTGAGCTGCAGCCCTTCAGCCCCCCTTAATACACCACTGTTGATAATCAAAGCTATTACCTTTACCAAATAAAGAGTTCTTACCTATTGTTCAAAATACCTAGAAATATTTTAAGAGTGATTCTAAGCTGTGATTTATTAGTTTTCTCATCAGTAGGCGTACACATTTGCTTAAATGAATTATTAACATGATAACAGGCATGATGAAATCAACTCTACAATCATCATTAATTCACAAGCCTTAAATATGCAGATAGTTTAGTTCTTGTAACCTACATTTTTATAATACATACATACGTTTATTTATAGGTACCTATACATCTCTACTATAAATATTTTTTGGCATGCAGGCACTAATTAGCCTGTATAAGCTAGTTTGTGTTTTGTCACTAGTTCTTCAGGTCAAATTAATATTTGGAAAAAAAATAGTAAGCCTATGTTGTTAGAGAACACACATGACTTAAGGCCCAAGTTAAAATCTTAAATATCAATTATTTTTTGTGACATGCTCTGTCTCTAGCTAGGCCTAGGTGATTAAAACCAACTCAGGCTAAGTGATTTATAAAAAAAGGTTAATTCTCTTAAGGTGAGGCAAACAAACTGTAGACTACCCGAAAACAATACGGTTGAATGATGCTCATAAGCTAAGAGATTTAATATACCTTATAATAATGAGGTTGAATGAGTCGAATACAATGAGTTAAGTGTGCCTCATAATATTGAGATTTTAAGTGCCACACGACAATACACCTCAAAACAATGTGGCTGCATGTGGTGCCTAAAAACGATAAAGCTCAAGAGGCCTCATATTCAATTAAGTCCGATGTGAACGTGAAGAAAAACGATAATATTTGGATGGCAATGATTTTGAAAGGACAAATGGGTCTAAAAAAATTATCGAATTGAGCCAAATTAATGCGGTTCTAGGTATATGCTTCATAAATAATGAGGTTTAATGTGTTTCAATCATGAGTGTTAGCAGATTAAGGAAATACTAGTGTACATGTTGCTCAAAGTCGAGCAATTGCAAAGAAGTACAGGAGTTATTTATAAACTAATAATTTGTTTAAAAAATAGTAACAGTCATAATTTCCAATGATTTTAAAAGAGTCAACTAAAAGATTATTAACCAATGGAAATACTCACAATTTACATAACAGTCCTATTCCAGTTTAAAGGGTTAATTTTTAACAATTAAACTGACCATGGACGGGAAAGGTAAGCTTACAATTTAAGTCAACGTAAAAAGGCTGTCAGCTTTTATAAAGTACCGTATCTAAGTTATTTAGCCAATTTGTAGACAATAAGGTGTAGGCTACTTTAAACTCTACAGGACAGAGTTAGGCAAAAACTGGCAGATCTCTGAAATGGTGTTATTTATCATAGGCTTACTCATATGCCAAATCCTTAAAAATATTTAATAACTACCTAATAACTTATATCATTAAACACAAACCAAGATCCAAACCCAAAACTAAAGGCTACACATTTTTACATAGATAATTTACACATTGACTGTTTACAATTAACATATGTTCTTCTTCTCACTATTAATTTTTGCTTCGCAACGGGAAAAATCTGTTTCATTATCATTGAAATAGATTTATAATAAATAATCTATCATTAAGTTTAAGATTACCATAAATAAACCTACCACATAGTGGTTTAATTTTTTTGATCAGCTGTCTGAAATTGTGAAATAGGCATTTGACAGTTCTGGTTGTTTACATTTAAATGTCAAAGCAAATGTAAACATTGTGAATTTTCTCATGCTTCAATGGAGACCAATTATTAATACTAGTGTACATGTTGCTCGAAATCGAGCAATTGAAAAGAAGTACAGGAGTTATTTATAAACAAATAACTTGTTTAAAAACTAATAACAGTCATAATTTTCGATGATTTTAAAAGAGTCAACTAAAAGATTATTAATTAATGGAAATGCTCACAATTTACATAACAGTCCTATTCCAGTTTAAAGGTTTAATTTTCAACAACCAAACTCTCCATGGACGGGAAAAGGTAAGCTTACAATTTAAGTCATCGTAAAAAGGCTGTCAGCTTGTATAAAGTACCGTACCAAAGTTATTTAGCCAATTTGTAGACAATTAGGTGTAGGCTACTTTATACTCTACAGGACAGAGTTAGGCAAAAACTCGGAGAACTCTGAAATGGTGTTATTTATCATAGGCTTACTCATCTGCCAAATCCTGAAAAGAATCAATAACTAATAACTTATATCATTAAACACAAACCAACATCCAAAACTATACACATTTTTAATACAACATAGATAATTTACACATTGACTGTTTACAATTAACATATGTTCTTCTTCTCACTATTAATTTTTGCTTCGCAACGGGAAAAATCTGTTTCATAATCATTGAAATAGATTTATTAAATAATCTATCATATAGTTTAAGATTAAATAAACCTACCACATAGTTGTTTTATTTTTTTGGGTCAGCTGTCTACAATTTTGAAATAGGCATTTGACAGTTCTGGTTGTTTACATTTAAATGTCAAAGCAAATGTAAACATTGTGAATTTTGTCATGCTTCCATGGAGACCAATTATTAATATTTAATTTCTGACAACAGCTGGAGTTTCAAAACAATATTTGTTTCCCATGTTAATCTTATGGAGAAATACGAAACTTTAAAGGGCCCTACTGTCGGGGAAAAAAGTTTAGACACTCGAGTTTGGTGCTCTACAGAAAAGTAACCAACTAACTTAGAAAAACACGTAGTATATATAAATTTTCGTTGTTTTATTCTACGTATTCCTGTGAAAACAAAAAATTTTTAGCTCTTTTAGGAAATTTTTTATGACAGTCGGAAGGTAAAAACTGCCTGTTTTTAGAGTACCAAAAACCATCTTATGACTTTGAAAATTTGCACAATGTAAACTAAACGGCAGAACTTTATCAAACTTTAATACAATATGGACACATAAAGAGATGGTTGCTGATTCTCTAACAAAGGCGCTTAACAGTGAAAAATTCAGAGACTGCATTAAGTTCCAGGGATTCCACAAATAAGGAGGGTGTTGAAATATGATTTGTGTGAATAGTTCATTTTGGTATCACATGTGTTCTGTATAAGTTAGTTGTCATGGTTACCAGATGTGTTTTGTGGAAAGCTATGTTGTGGTTTTGTATTGAGTAAAACTTGTACCTAAAACACCTTTCTCTTTATCATTCTACATAATTTAAGTCATAATGAATTAATTTGTGTAGTTTCAGAATTTTTACTCTACCCAAAAAGTTTTTGTTGTAACTTTTGTAAATCAACTTTTTCTCAAAAACTGCAAACGCTAGAAACAAATTTAAAAGCTTGTTTTGGAGGTGATTGGTTTTGTATTAGAAATATTGATACTGCTCAACCAAATTGTTACGCATATTATTTATATAAGTTAACATTTAATTTGGATAGTGCAGAGGCCGAATACGGCACTTCCAGACCGCCACCGGCTCTGACTGGGCGCATGCTCCGTACAGTGTTGCCAAATTGAACACCTGGACACTGAGCAGCGATGGGCTGCGAACTGTTGAGTCAAAACTGAACAGCAGTTATTATTAATTATTAACCATTTCCCATCACCTTTTCTAATGAGGGCTTTGGACCTCCATCGTCACTCCCACACTTCTAAAAAAAAAACATATAGCACTGACAATCATTGCATATTCCGAATCTTACTGAATCTGACTAATTTAGATTTAGCACCTATATTTGGGGTGGTAATACTTTCGACCCTTTGGAAGAATGTAAAACATGATATTTCATGTGAGTCAGTCAGTGACACACACTGCGTGAATCACCTTACGCTCGGTCAAGGTCCATCGTGGCAACACTGCACTGGATTCCTGAGCGGGCGATGGCGTCTGCACCCCTTGCAGGCGCGAGATCATCCAGTTTTTTGTTTATTTATATAAATAACATGAATAAGAGTTTGGTTGAGCAGTATCGATATTTCAAATACAAAACCAATCACCTCCAAAACAAGCTTTTAAATTTTTTTCTAGCGTTTGCCGTTTTTGAGAAAAAGTTGATTTACAAAAGTTACAACAAAAACTTTTTGGGTAGAGTAAAAATTCTGAAACTACACAAATTAATTTATTATATATGTTTCCATATTGTATTAAAGTTTGATAAAGTTCTGCCGTTTAGTTTACCTTGTGCAAATTTTCAAAGTCATAAGATGGTTTTTGGTACTCTAAAAACAGGCAGTTTTTACCTTCCGACTGTCATAAAAAATTTCCTAAAAGAGCTAAAAAAATTTTGTTTTCACAGGAATACGTAGAATAAAACAACGAAAATTTATATATACTACGTGTTTTACTAAGTTAGTTGGTTACTTTTCTGTAGAGCTCCAAACTCGAGTGTCTAAACTTTTTTCCCCGACAGTAGGGCCTCAATCTCTAATTATTTCCTTAAAAATAAAGTTTCCTGCACAACTTCACGTTACGCTCTTTCCAATGACACCAAAAACATGTCAGTCGGTTCAGTAGTTTCGGAGGAGTAATTGTCACAAAAATCCTGCTTGCGTATTAAATAAGTATAGATTTAATTTCTGACAACAGCTGGAGTTCCAAAACAATGTTTGTTTCCCATGTTAATCTTATGGAGAAATACGAAACTTTAAAGGGCCCCAGGGCGTCACTCTCTATTTATTTCCCTAAAAAGAAAGTTTCCTGCACAACTTCACGTTACGCTCTTTTCAATGATACCAAAAACATGTCAATCGGTTCAGTAGTTTCGGAGGAGTAGCCTAATTGTCACAAAAATCCTGCTTGCGTATTAAATAAGTAAAATAGATTATCGCAGAAGAAAATACCCCCGCCGCAGCAAACCTGCACACTAAGCGAATTTCTATTAGCCTGATTGGATTTACACTAAAATACCTCCTTAAAAATATCACATTTATTCCCTATTTAAATAGAATTAGTTTAACGAGTACTAAGGTTTGCCGCAACAGGGAGGGGAAAAAATGTGTTTTTTTGTAAAATGTTAATAGTTTAGTATGAAATGAATACATTTTTCCAAATTTGATCAAAATATGTTCATAAACAAGCAAACTACAAAAGTTTACTTATTCTCCATAAGAATAACATGGGAATTTTAAAATTACAGATTTTTGGAATTTTCTCCGTAACCATTAGGCGCATAATAACGCTTCAATATACGAATATATTGGTTTTTTTTAAGCTTTACAAAATGGTTTGAAAAGGAATTGCAAAATTTAAGTTTTTAGGGTCAAAAATGGGAAAAACCTATTTTTAACCCATAAAACCCCCTATAACCCCCGTTCCCATAGTCCGATCAAGCTGGTTCGCGAACTCGTTCAAGTAAACGTAGGTTTACACGTTTGTACCAAATTTCATCAAAATCGGATAATTTTTGCTCGAGTTATCGCGCTAACGGACACATATATAAATTGATGTGGGCCGGGCAAATGCCCAGTGGGCGGGTCGTTTATAAATGGGCATTTGCCCATTATTAAAAAAAACACCAGGGCGTTTTACATCACTAAAATATATATATATATATATATATATGAATTTGAGCGGATGGTGTTTTTGGCCTCTAGGGACCTCAAAACGAAAAAGTAAATCGGTCCCGGGTCTAGGTCTCACCATGACTACTACGGTAATAGCTTATTCCCTATAGGGAAAATTCGCTAAAAAAAGAGTTATTCAAATGCAAACCTATTCATTGTGCAAAACACTCCTCAGGCTTTTACTACTCACCCTCACTTGAGAAGATAGATTTATCTATTCACTTGATTGAATAGACCTAGGCAAACTAACTTGAACAATACAGTATAATCAGTACTCGGTTTGGAAAAAAAATAGTTGCCAGAACTGTAACCTATTTAATGTGATTTGTACCTATTTATGCCAAATCCTTTCGTGAGAGAGAGAGAGAGAGGTACCTTGTTCCGCCGCGTCCCCGCAAATCGGGCAATGAGTATAAATCATTAAAATTTTAATTCATAAAGGTTTAATAAAAATACAGTAGGTACGGTAACTTACTTTTTGGAAGGAGTCCTCATCAGTGATATCATACACTAATATAGCACCATTCGACATTCGGTAGTAGATAGGACCTAGGGCATGAAACCTCTCTTGCCCAGCTGTGTCCCATATTGCCAAGTTAACCCTTTTGCCAGAAAGGTTCAGCTTTTTATTTAGAAATGATGCCTGAAAAACAAATTTAAACCAGTAAGTCTTTATTAACACACAAAATCTGATCAAAGTCTTTGACTTATCAATAAGGTTAATATATTTTGCTTGGGCCTATATTCTATAGGCATCTACTGACATGAAATAAAATGGAGTAGGCTAGTATTATTTTATTACAATCGACAGTTTTTCCGAGATAACATGTTCCTTTAAAGTAGGCAGACTGCAACATACTCCCTTAGTAGATTTGTCATCTTTATGGAACAGCTAAGCCAATTTCATTGTTAGTTCTGTACGTCCAACTGTAGAGGTCGTGTTTTGTATACAATTTGTTTTTTGTAGGCCTAATCTCAGTCATTTAAAACCTCATTTAACCAAATAAAACGATATAGCCGAATCATAAACAATACCTGGTCTCCTAGTTATATAACCAAATAGGAAAGCACCAATCATGAAAATAACCCTAAAATAATAGAAACAAAATTTTGTCTACCCCAGCGATCGATCAGTGTGGACGTACATGAACAAGGTACGAAAAAACCAGCTTCAAAATTTACAATGGGATGAGGAGTCTACTTGTGTTGGTTAGTCTATGCTAGCAGTTACTTGGCGCACGTTGTCAACGGTTGCTTTTTAAAGGCTTACGCTAATTTATCTAAAGCGGTGTTTACACTGTCGTGGGGCCACGGCTAAAATCAGGCGTGTAGGTGAGAAATTTCTCCCTCGTGTAAACAGTGAAGACGTGGGAGCAACAGACCTGGCAACCCAATACGCCTGGTCCCCACGCTCTTTAGGACTAACCAAACCGTGTTTGGTTGCTACGCCAGTTGCAGGCGTGGCTAGACGTGGTGAGGAGTGGTCTTCCGTCTCGTCGTTGTGTGTACTACGAGTTTTAACTATTGTTCTTTAAAGTCAGTGGTTGTCGTCTTAGTTTTTAAGTACCATGGCGAAAACTAAAATATCCATAACATTAACACAAGTAGAATCAATTGAAACGGTGAAAACAAAGAAATCTTTAAAATTAACGGAAGGTCAAACAATTTGAATGCTTGAACTGTATCAAAGTGAACCTTGTTTATTTTATATAAATATTGAAAGCTACAGCTTGGTTTCTTTCTTTTAATAACACTTAAATGCCGTGCTATTTCTTCAGCTAAAATAACACTCATTGTAGTACAACCTTCACTAATTAATCTGTTGACACAATCCATAACGCACCCGTAAATAAAAATGAACATGCCTTTAATGAATACGCTTCTACCAGAAAACTGTTTACACTACACTTCTGCTTGTGACCGTGGGACGGTACCGTGGCGCCAAGGCATTTGCGTAAGGCTGTCCATTGACCATGCCTGTTATGGACTATGTTAGTCTTTAAGTTTAGGGTCAATCCATATCAAGTGATCCAGAAATAAAATAATTGGTTGCTTGACCATTTTTAAAATAAGTAATAATTTTATCCTAGATACCTCTATCAATTCTGGGTTCAAAAGTGATTTTAATTTTTTTTTTATCTCTTTTGTTACTTCTACGGCGGCCATTTTTGTTTTGCGGAACACGCAAATTTTTGCTCATGTAAGGGTTTGCGTTAACTTGCACAACTCGGTAACCATGAACACTAGAGTGATGAAACAAAAAGCATTTTAATCTGGAAGAAACAGCCTAAATATTATGTTCTGTACATATTTATTGAAATGTGTATCAAAAACAGTTTTAACCCCATCTCAACATTTCATAAGAAAACGGAAAAATTTCAACTTTTGAAGGCGTATTACCATTGGAACGAATAAAATCTCAGACTTGATTTTTTTAGCGAATTTCCCATATAGGGAATATTTAGCGAATTTCCCATATAGGGAATATTTAGCGAATTTCCCATATAGGGAATAAGCTATTACTGTAGTACTCACGGTAAGACCTGGACCCGGGACCGATTTTTTTTTTCGTTTTGAGGTCCCTAGAGGTCAAAAACACCATCCGTTCAAATTCATATATATATATATATTTATATATATATACTTTTGTGCCCACCCGGTTTGGCAGTCAGTGCGCTGGTAATTTACACGGTGTGGCAGTCACCCGCCCGAAAGCCAGTCAGCTCTCCCATAAGCCAGTCAGGTATGGCTTCCCGTGCACTTTATACGTAAGAAAACAGCAAACCGGTGCTGCTGCCTGTGTCGATAAGCGTAACTGCAATACCAATGCGGAGACTGTCTCATCGTGTGTTCTATCGTTGAGTAGTGTAGCCAGTACGGCACCCTACCCTACTTTGTAGCGGTAAAACCCAGCGGTCTGTAACCTTCGTTTACTCCTTGTTACTATTTGTGTTGGGATCGTGATTAACTACGTGTTAATGTTTAAACATGTTCATACTCCAAATAAATATGATGCACCTCTAATAAGGATCGTCGAATATTAATTAATTATAATTGGTTGAATCTTGATCCTACCCGTTCATCATCTCATATTTTAAGTTATTTTGATTTTTTTTACCTTCAGTTGAAATTTTAGTCAACTTCTCCTTTATACAATATTTTTTATCCTAGTATTTACAGTGTTTCCACGGACCGGGAACTATACGGATTTTCTTTATCTCGAGAAATATACATGAATCTTGTCCGAGATACTGGAACTGTTTTTTACGCAATTGCGTAACGCGAAGGAGTAACTATTACATATGACAACGATATTATTCTATCTGATAGAATAACTATGAAACTACACTCGAAAGATAAAATATTTTTATAATAATTTCAATTTTACAAACAAACTATTACAGGAATTATATTTTGGGACGGATGAATGATAAGGAAGCAACAAAAAGTGGTCACGAGTGAAAATACGGGGGGGGGGGAGGGGGGTACAATATAACGAACGCCAGAAACGATTATTTGTTTACTTTTCAGATTCCTTATAAAATCTCTCTCTCTCTCTCTCTCTCGCTCTCTAACAATGTACAGATTGTGGACTTTACGATTTAAGTTTTCCTGCAATTATTTCAGTTCAATCCCATACCTATCCTTATGGTTTCCTATCTATTATTTTTCAAAATAAATAGTAAAGCAGGTTATTACATTCTATTACTATTTTTTATTTTATTTTCTTGAAACCAAACACTCTTTACCATCCGGTATTCTGCAGAGTCAAATGTTTAACACTGTGTTTATAAAAATTGAATGGCCACACAATTTTGTGTTTTATTTTTTTTTCCTAATAGTAACTGGGATATTTATATATACCAATAAGTGCTGCAAGCTGTAATAAATGCTGCTGATTAATATCAAAATAAGTTATAATTTATTTTATATAATACATCGGTCATTGAATACAAACCATAATGGGTTTTCTATTTGTAACATTAACTTGCAAATATAGTAGAACCTCGCTTAACTGGAGTCGCATCATCATGATGCCTATATATTATATAACCTCACAAATCCCAAGAAAATGTTTTATTAACTGTGTTTTTCAGTCTAATATTTCGATATGAACGATATATTTAACTATTTACGGTAATTTTTATGTGCAGTAGGTTCCCAATTATTGAAATATTACAGTTCATTTAACAAAAATAAGATGGAAGCAAAACGGAGAAATATCGATCAGTATCGTCAAGGTCAACCTATACGCTCGCACCTACAGACTGACAATCTTGCACTGACACTGACATACTGACAATCGTCTGCTTCTGTCTGCTGTCACAACACTACAATATTTTGTGGTTGGGTCGTTGGGTGATTAGTAACCATGACAACTTGTGGATGTAGAGAAACCAAAGAAAGAATAGAACAAAGAGAAATAATAAGAGGTGTTTTACATCATTTTTATCTTTATCTTATTTTTATCATTGTTATTATTACCAGAAAGACTTAAGTACAGTACTATGATTTTATGGTGTTTTATGAGTTATTTAATATTTTTATCCCCATACTTCTGTTCTGAAACATCATGTAGTAGTAGCCTAGGATGACTACGGTATCAGTAGTCTTCTAGTCTACATTTTCATTTTGTTTTGTTCTTTACGTGATTTATTGCTGTACAGTAAGCAAGTTTTGTTTTGTTTGAGTAAGCATACGGTGTAGTTTTTATTAGTAAACCAAGGTTAATGACTTAAAATATCACGGTTGCGCAATACCTATTGTATTTTGACTATGTAAAATGCAAATTTATAATCACGTTAACGTCCATTTATATAGTGTCCCGGAACGGCATTGTTCCTGAGTAAGAAACATATAAATATCATATTTAAATTATCCAGAAGTCCTTAGTTACTCATACGGGGAAAAAAGTTTTAGGCCTAAATCATTTGAAACCTGTACATTACATATTTTTGGTCGAGTTTTCGACCACTAGTTAAAGTTAATTGTATTACAACAATCTTTATAGTAAGCAATATAAGCTTGAATCGGACTTATCTGCCTTCAGCTAATCCATCATATGATAGTACGTTAGAGAGTATGCCCATGCTGAAGTTTTACTTATACTTGAAGAATGACTTAATTTAGTACCAAGAAATAAATCACACCCCTTACATACACTGTGCTGTTTTAATGCTGTGTAGTTGATTGCTACTGTATTAACCTGTGATCGCATATTAATTCACTCATTAGGAACTATTTAAAAAAATACTACTTTTATTTTTTTTTTAGATTTCTATGATTTATTTACAATAACAGAAATGTGTAAGATTAAAATAAATTAATGTGTTGCATTGTCCATTTAAAGTTACATCATAGTAAATTAAAATTCCACTGAAACTTAAACAATAAAAGCCGAAATTAGTTATAAAGAAAACACGAGTTTCCTTTATATTGCTTTTACAATCGAAATATACATACTGAGCCACGGCTCGGTCCCCCGGTACTTTTCATTTTAAATATTCAAATAAAGTCGATTATTTTTAATGTTTTATGAAACGTGACATAGCAAATTTCCACGGAACTTTTTTTGTCGGCTACTACTTTATTTTATTTTTTGGTCAGGTTAGTTTAAAAACAGTGGATTCTGTATACAAAAAG